CATCCAGGTTACACTGATGCAAGAGGTTGCTTCCCATGATCTTGGGCAACTCCTCCCCTGTGCTTTGCATGGTACAGCCTACCTCCCGGCTACTTTCACAGGCTGACATTGAGTGTCTGCAGCATTTCCAGGCATACGGTGCAAGCTCTAGGTAGATATACCATTCTGGGGTCTGGAGGACTATGGCCCTCTTCTCACAGCTCCACTAGGTGGTGCCCCAGTATGGACTCTGTGTGGGGGCTTTGACCCCACATTTCCCTTCTGTACTGCCCTTGCAGAGGTTCTCCATGAGAGCTCTACCCCGTAGCAAACTTCTGCCTGGACATCCAGGCATTTCCATGTATCTCTGAAATCTAAGCAGAGGTTCCCAAACCTTTTTCTTGACTTCTGTGTACCTGCAGGCTCAATACCACATGGAAGCTGCCAAGGCTTGGGGCTTGCACCCTCTGAAGCCACAACCTGAGCTGTACCTTGTCCCCTTTTAGCCATGACTAGAGCTGCTGGGGATGCAGAGCACCAAGTCCCTAGGCTGCACATAGCGAGGGGCCACAGGCCCTGCCCATGAAACCACTTTTTCCTCCTTGGCCTCCCAGGGTGTGATGGAAGGGGCTGCCATGAAGACCTCTGACATTCCTGGAGACATTTTCCCCATTGTCTTGGGGATTAACATTCAGCTCCTTGTTTTTTCATGCAAATTTCTGCAGCTGGCTTGAATTTCTCCTCAGAAAATGGGATTTTCTTTTCTATCACAATGTCAGGCTAAAATTTTCCAAACATTTATGCTCTGTTTCCCTTATAAAACTGAATGCCTTTAACAGCACCCAAGTCACCTCTTGAATTCTTTTCTGCTTAGAAATTTCTTCTGCCAGATCATCCTCTGCCTAAATCATCTCTCTCAAGTTCAAAGTTCCACAAATCTCTAGGGTGGGGCGCAATGCTGCCAGTTCCTTTGCTAAAGCAAAGCAAGAGTCACCTTTTCTCAAGTTCCCAACAAGTTCCTCATTTCCATCTGAGACCACCTCAGCCTGGACCTTACTGTTCATATCACTATCAGCATTTTTGTCAAAGTCATTCAACATGTCTCTAGGAAGTTCCAGACTTTCTCACATTTTCCTTTCTTCTGAGCCCTCCAAACTATTCCAACCTCTGCCTATTTCCCAGTTCCAAAGTTGTTTCCACTTTTTCAAGTATCTTTCCAGCAACACCCCACTCCTGGTACCAATTTACTGTATTAGTCCATTTTCACACTGCTGATAATGACATACCCAAGACTGGGCAATTTACAAAAGAAAGAGGTTTACTGGACTTACAGCTCCACATGGCTAGGGAGGCCTCACAATCATGGCAGAAGGCAAGGAGGAGCAAGTCACATCTTATGTGGATGGTAGCAGGCAAAGAGAGAGATTGTGCAGGGAAACTCACGTTTTTAAAACCATCAGATTTCATGAGACCCATTCACTATCATGAGAACAGCACAGGAAAGACCCGCCCCCATAATTCAGTCATCTCCCACCAAATCCCTCCCACAACATGTAGGAATTATGGGAGCTACAAGACAAGATTTGGCTGGGGAAACAGAACCAAATCATATCACGAGTGAATTGTATTTTTATCCACTTCCTCTGTGTTACTTGTTCTGTTGGTTTTCTCAGTCTTCTCTTTCATACTGTCATTTTTCCTCGTGTGTCCTCAAATTTTTATTTAATGTGGATGCTACTCATATATCTGCCTGGAACATTACTTGAGTTATTATAATAGCAAGGATGAATTTCCAGTAGCTCAATAGGTCTCTTTTCCTAGTAGACCCCTCCACTGAAATTAAAAAATTTCTGGTGACCTGATTTGTAACATTCACTATGTTATTAATATAACCATTTTCCAATGCCAAAAATTCTAACATACTAGTTTTATTGGTTGCATAGTTTTTCATCATAGTACTGTTTACTCTTTCTCTTATTATTGGATATTTGATTTTTTCCAACTTTTCATTAAATAACGTCAAGAACAGATTTGTACATGTATTTCTTCATGTATCTCTGATAGTTTTCATAATGTTAATTCCTAGAGTGAAATTTATAGGTCATGAAAGACTTCTAATAGACATTGCTAAATTGTCTTTTGAAGATTGTAACAAGTCTCAGTCTCACATAAAAATACCCTTTCCCCCCAACACTCTTGATAATGGCAGATAATAACGTTCTTTTTAATCTCTGCTAACCTAGCAATATACATATTACTATATATATATTGAATATGAATATTTTCCTGTTGAATTTACATATTTGGGCATTTTCATAAGTTTGTTTCTTTTGTGAATTGACTCGTTATGTCCTTTGCCTGTTTTTCTGTTCACCATTTTGTTCTGCTTTGTCAGACTTTATTTTGGGAATGTTTGTTATACATTCCCAAGTGTTTGTTATAATTACTGTAAGTTTTTTCTCAGTTTGTGGTTTGCCTTTAACTTTTTTATGTGTCTTTTACTAAATATGTGTTTTGATGCTGTATATGTAAAACCACCCACTCACCTGTCCAGAGATTAAATTTCATCTGTGTAGCTTGGTATGTTTATGATTTCTAGTTTTGCATTAAACTTTTCAATCCATGTACATTTATTTTGGAATATGGCTTATATAGGGACACATCTTTGTTTTTTCAGAAATAACTAATTAGCTAGCATCTTTTTCCTTGACTGGTAGTTCATCCTTTCCCCATTAATTTGAAATCTCACCTTTGTCATATACTAAACGTTTTATATAATATGTGTGTGTATCTGCCTAGAAATCTTATGTGCCTGCCCAGGCACATCTTACAATTCTTGATGTTTCTAACAAGACCACTCTGTTACTTTACTGTTTTAGAAAGCACTTAAGTGTAATACTTAATCTACTGTATTAAAACTGTATACAACACCCAGGCATGATTGGTTATGCCTGTAATCTCAGCACTTTGGGAGGCTGAGGTGGGAGGATCATTTTAACCCAGGAGTTTAAGACCAGCCCAGGCAATATAGTGAGACCTTGACTCTACAAAAAATTTAACAATTAGCTGGGTGTTGTGGCATGCGCCGGTGGTCCCAGATATTCAGGAGTCTGAGGTGGGCACTCGCTTGAGCCTGGGAGGTCAAGTGTTCAGTGAGCTGTTGTCATACCACTGCACTCCAGCCTGGGTGACAGACCAAGATCCTGTCTCAAACAAACAAACAAAAAATTGTATCCAGTGCTAGTGTATTTCTAAAAATCCTGATTTCTAAAAATTAATGACCCCCCAAAATATTTCCCTCATCAGAATGTTCTGTTATCAGCCAAAGATTTCTTTTTGTCAGCTCACAACCTGCCAGAATAAAGGCAACAGTGGTAGACAGGGTGAACCGTTGTGATTCTGAAGCATTCTAAGTGGTTTCAGAGATATGAAAATTTCATCATCTTGTTTTGTGTTAGGGGAAAAGGAAATATTGGTAAAGTAAACATTGAAAATTGAGGTAAATACCAGTATTTGAACTTTGAAAAAGTAGCCAGAATGTTCCTAAGGTGGCAGCATTTCAGAAATTATACAATTTCTCGATGCTGCTGGTTACTGGAACAGTTGTAAGGCTCTGCCCATGTCTGGACATCACATTCCATCTTCCTTGTCCTTATAGGGCTTCAGCCACACAGCTGGTTAAGGTACAGTTTGACCATGGATTTCTCAAGAAATGAAAAGTACATTATGGTGCTGTAGGTCAGATGTGAAGTATGTGTCCTATTTTGTGAACTATTGTAGCAAAACTAAATCAATGAAGGGATTTTGCTGAGAAAGTGGTTACCAGCATTCACAGAGCTGGCTACTGGGTGAAAAACCTGAATTCTAAGTTTTGCAATTAACTGCATGACACTGAGTATTACCTAATGATTCCTTTTGTTTTTTTCAGTTGCTTTTGCATTATATAGGTGTTTTCCCAAATGTGTTCTGGAAGACATTATTACTGTAAGGTGCTCTGGAAGACATTTCAGGGACCATAGCTAAATCAGCTAAAGAAAAGCTGTGTACTAGATCCTTCTAAGAAATGCATTGGCTGGGCACGGTGGCTCATGCCTGTAATCCCAGCACTTAGGGAGGCCAAGGCAGGCAGATCACTTGAGGTTGGGAGTACAAGATCAGCCTAGTCAAAATGGTGAAACCCTACCTCTACTAAAAATACAAAAAAAAATTAGCCAGGCTTGGTGGCGCACGCCTGTAGTCCCAGTTACTTGGGAGGCTGAGGCTGTAGGATCACTTGAGCCCAGGAGGCAGAGGTTGTAGTGAGCCGAGAGCATGCCACTGCACTCCAGCCTGGGTGATGGGAGTGAAACCCTGTCTCAAAAAAAAAAAAAAAAAGAAATGCACAATATGTAGTCCCATACTAAAGGCTCTAAAAAGTCTTACAGAAAAGAAATTTAAATGTTTTGGGCCTATTTCTTGACATCTGTAGGAATCGTTTCATAAATCCACTTCAGGAAGCTGTATTAGCTGCTGTGCAAGGTATCAAACATCTATAATTCTAGTTCCAGTAAAAAGTTGTATATAAATAAGTTACTTTTTATGTAGTACTTTAATTTGTAATATCAGTATGGAATCTTCTTAAGGAAGCACTGAAAAAATCCTTTAATTGTACAAGATCTTTGTACAGTATCATGGATTTTTAAACACAGAAACACAGAGAAGCATTGTTTTATCCTGTGAATACCAAAACTTTGATTTGGAATTATTGGTGAGAAAAAAGCAGGATCAAACATTTCCCTACTTTTTAGGAGTTCTGTGCAATACCTCAAATTCTGTCCAGAATATTCCTACAAAGTACAGTGTGATGTTAGATACTGTTTACATCCAACATGTTTTCTTTTGTTTAATGTAATTTGAGCTATTATTGGCTCAAAATATATAGATTCTTAGTGATCTTTTATATTTATTGTTCATAAAATAATGTTTGGCTTCCTAATAAGAAAGTTAAGAGGAAAATCAAGGTGTTTTCCTCTTGCTTGTAGGATGGGTGCTGCAGACAATATATATAAAGGACGGAGTACATTTATGGAAGAACTGACTGACACAGCAGAAATAATCAGAAAAGCAACATCACAGTCCTTGGTTATCTTGGATGAATTGGGAAGAGGGACGAGCACCCATGATGGAATTGCCATTGCCTATGCTACACTTGAGTATTTCATCAGAGATGTAAGTATCCGGTAAACTGTATTTAAAAAGAAATTAATTTTTAAATTATTATTTTTAAATGAAAGTTATAATTGTACTATATTTATGGGGTACAGTGTGATGTTTTGAAATATATAAACAATGTGGAGTGATTAAGTAACATATTCTTCACCTCATTTAGATATCATTTTTTGTGGTGAGACATTTGAAATTTATTCTCTTAGTTATTTTGAAATATATATTATTACTGCTGTAGTCATAATACCATTATGCAATCCCTGCATACCCTTGTGTACATGGATGATACATATTATACACATTATTTTCCTGATCTCAGTCTGCAAATACTCAGAATTCTCTTTTTTATAACTGACCGCAGCCCTGCAAATGATCACTAGAATGCTACACACTGAATTCAGACAGATTGACCCTAAATAATATTTGTAGTTTTTTGATACATGTTCCTTTTTCTTGCTGACTCAACATAAATCTGGTTGTATGAAAAAGGCCTCCCTGGCAGTATTTTCACTCAGAATTGTATCTTATTATCCTTGGTGAACCCTAAATCAAGAACAGGTATCATCCATCTACAGCCAAATTCCTCAAGGGACAAACAAGGAAATACTGCCATTTCTACTTCATGAAATCCTTTTATTTTACCAACATCCTGAAAGATCTCATTGTGAGATCTTTGATCTCATCTCATTGTGTTTCTATATGATTTGGTAACATCATTCCTTCAAAGCATGTCTCCTTTTTTCAGGGTGCATTTCTAAGCTTCAGTGTGAAATTTTGTTTGTGTCAAACTTTCCATCCCTATCATTTCCGTCTAACTGTCCCCTTTAGTTTACTTTCTCTATCTTGTTCATTTTGGTCTCTGCTTTTCAAATCTCTCCCTCATGGAACCTGCCCTTAGGCCTTTCCCTTCTCTGGTCTTTCTTTTCTGTTTTTTCCCCCCATTTTCTTGCTCCTTTGTCATTGGGTCTTCCCTTGTTTTCATTTCTTTCTCTCTTCTATTTAAGGAAGAGATTGGCTATTTAAGCCAATAAAATCATACTTTTAATATTTCTTTTCAAAAAGCAACACAAGGCCGGGCATGGTGGCTCACGCCTGTAATCCCAGCACTTTGGGAGGCCGAGGTGGGCGGATCACAAGGTCAGAAGATCGAGACCATCCTGGCTAACACAGTGAAACCCCGTCTCTACTAAAAACACAAAAAAAATAGCCGGGCGTGGTGGCAGGTGCCTGTAGTCCCAGCTACTTGGGAGGCTGAGGCAGGAGAATGACGTGAACCTGGGAGGTGTTGCTTGCAGTGAGCCGAGATCGTGCCACTGCACTCCAACCTGGGTGACAGAGCAAGACTCCGTCTCAGAAGAAAAAAAAAAAGCAACACAAAAATAAAATTTCTTTTTCTTTAACCTTTTGTTGCCCTTGATATTTTGGGGTTTAGTTTTGTTTTTAAAGCTTAATTTCCATTTGATTTTTTCCCAGAAGATAGTTTTTTTTCAGTCTTTAGAGACTCAGCTCCATGCATGGGCTTTGATGGAGATCATGGGGCAGCACGCTCAGATCTAAATTGGAGTGGAGTTGTTTGGTCCCCTAGGCTTCTTGAGAATGATTCCTGACTACCTTGCTGTGAGTGGCAGAACTTGTGCAGTAATACAGTTTCACACACTCCTTGGGAAGCACAGAGACATCAACAACGCTTAATTTGGAAATGTCCCTGACAGCTGCACCTTCTACCATATTTCAAATGACAAACGTCTTAATGGCCTTGTCCTTAGGTTTGCATCCAACACAGTTTGTGCAGCAAATAAGTTGCACCTAGCTATGGCCCTTTTTGGCACAACCATTGTTGTTGTTCTTCCTCCTTCTCTTCTTTCTCCTCCTCCTCCTCTTTTTTTTTTTTTGAAACGGGTTCACTCTGTCACTCAGGCTGCAGTGCAGCGGCATGATCATGGCTTACTGCAGCCTCAAACTATCTGGGCCCAGGTGATCCTTCCACTTCGGCCTCCTGAGTAGCTGGGACTACAGGCACACACCAACCATACCCAGCTAATTTTTGTATTCTTTTAGAGACGGAGTTTCACCATGTTGCCCAAGCTAGTCTTGAACTCTTGGGCTCCAGTGATCCACCTGCCTTGGCTTCCCAAACTTCTGGAATTATAGGCATGAGTTACTGTGCCCAGCCTCCCTTCTTTTCTTTGTTATTTTGGCAGTGAAGACCCAAGAGAGACTCAGGTTTTGTTTAAACATTTATTTAGATTACATAGGTAATTAAGACATTTTGTTTTTTTAAAGGAATTTTTTGTTTTGCTTTAAAAAATTTATTTGCAAAAAGATGTAACTCAGAAACTTTAATCATTTTAGAAACTACATAGGAAAGCAATTGACTTTTGTATATTAACCTTGTATCCTGCAGCCTTGCTATAATCACTTACTAATGCCAGTCTGTGTGTATGTTTGTCAATTCTTTTGAATTTCCTACATAGGCAGTCATGTCAGCTACAAACAGACAGTTTCACTTCTTTCTTCCCCATCTATTTTTTTTTTCTTGTCTTACTGCACTAACTAGGACTTTCAGTACAGTGTTGAAAAAGTAGTAAGAAAGGATATCCTTGCCTTGTTTCTGATCTTAGTGGGAAAGCTTTTTAAGTTTCTCACCATTAAGTATGATGTTAGCTAGAGGTTGTTTGTGGCTATTCCTTATCAAATTGAGGAAGTTCTCCTCTATTCCTAGTTTACTGAGAGTTTTTTTAATCATGAATGGGTGTTAGATTTTGTCAAATGCTTTCTGTGCATCTATTGATACGATCATGTGATTTTTCTTCTTTAGCCTGTTGATGTGATGGATGACGTTAACTGGTGTTCAAATGTTGAATGAGTCTTTCACACTTGGGATGAGTCCTACCTGGTTATGGTCTGTTTTTCTTTTTATACATTGGATTCATTTTGCTGATATTTTATTGAGGATTTTTGCATCTATGTTTATGAGATACTGGTTTGTAGTTTTCTTATAATGTCTTTGTCTGGTTTTGGTATTAAGGTAATGCTGGCCTCATAGAATGAGTTAGAAAGTATTTACTCCACTCCTGTCCTCTGAAAAAGACTGTAGAGAATTGGTAAAATATCTTCCTTAAATGTTTGGTGGAGTTCACCAGTGACGCCACTGGGGCCTTTGATTTTTGTTTTGGAAGGCCATTGACTCAAGTTCTTCAATAGATATAGACCTATTCAGATTTTGTTTTTTCTTGTGTGAGTTTTGGCTGATTGTGTCAGCCAATTTTAAGGAATTGTTTTTCAAGAAATTTTCACCAAGGTTGCCAAATTTGTGGACATAGAGTTGGTAATAGTATTCCCTTATTACCCTTTTATTTGTCCATGGCATCCGTAGTGTTGTCCTTCTCGTTTCTGATATTAGCCATTTGTATCTTTTCTCTTTTGTTCTTAGTTAGCTTGGCTAGAAGCTTATCAGTTGTCTTTTCAAAAAACCAGATTTTGGTTCTATTGATTATTTTCCCTATTGCTTTCTTGTTTTAATTTCATTGATTTCTGCTCTAATTTTTATTATCTCTTTTCTTTTGCTTATTTTTGCTCTTCTCTTTCTGGTGTCCTAAGATGGAAGCTTAGATTGTTTATTTTAAATCTTTCTTTTTTAAAATGTGTTCAGTGCTATAAATTTTCTTTTTTCATTCTTTCTTTTCTTTCCATTTTTTCTTCTTTTTTGAGACAGGGTCTTGTTCTGTTACCCAGGCTGGACTGCAGTGGCATGAACACAGCCCACTGCAGCCTCGACTCCCTGGGCTCAAGTGATCTTCCTGCCTCAGCCTCCCACTTAGCTGGACTGCAGGCACATGACACAACACCCAGCTAATTCTTTTTTTATTTTTTGTAGAGATGGGGGTCTCACTATGTTGCCCAGGCTGGTCGCGTATTCCTGGACTCGAGTGATCCTCTCGCCTTGGCCTCCCAGAGTGCTGGGATTACAGGTGTGAGCCACCACTCCTGGTCCATAAATTTTCTTCTATGCACTGCTTTTGCTGCATTCCACAAATTTTGATAAGGTGTGCTTCCTGTTTGTATTTAGTTTCAAATAATTTAAATTTATCTTCATTTCCTTTTTGACCCATATGTTTTTTAAGAATGTGTTGTTTAGTCTCCATGTATTTGGGGGTTTTCCAGTTACCTTTTTGTTATGATTTCTAGTTTAATTCCATTGTGGTCTGAGATCAAATATTGTATGATTTTTATTATATTAAATTTGTCAACATGTGTTTTATGGCCCAAAGTGTGGTCTTTCTTGGTGAATGTTCCATCTTAGCTTGAGATGAATGTGTATTCAGCTGTTGGACGAAATATCTATAGATATAAATGATGTCTAGTTGATTGATGGTGTTGTTGAGTTCAGCTATGTCCTTACTGATTTTCTGCTTGCTGAATCTGTCTGTTTCAGATGGAGGAATTTTGATGTCTCTAACTATAGTAGTATGTTCATCTGTTTCTCTTTGTAGTTCTATCAGCTTTTGCCTCATGTAGTTTGACATTCTCTTGTTAGATGCATACATGTTAAGGATATTATATCTTCTTGCAGAATTTATCCCTTTATCATTATGTAATATCCTTCTTTATCCCTGACAAATTTACATGATCTGAAGTCTGCTGTGTCTCAAATTAATATAGCTACTCCAGCTTTCTTTAGAAATTAATATAGCTGCTTCAGCTTTCTTTAATGTTAACATGATATATCTTCCTCCATACACATATATATATATTTTAGACAGAGTCTCACTCTGTCACCCAGGCTGGAGTGCAGTGGCACAATCTTAGCTCACTGCAACCTCTGCCTCCCAGATTCAAGTGATTCTTGTGCCTCAGCCTCCCGAGTAGCTGGGATTACAAGTGTGTGCCGTCACACCTGGCTAATTTTTGTATTATTTTTCAATTAGAGATGGGGTTTCACCATGTTGGCCAGGCTGGTCTTGAACTTCTGGCCTCAAGTTATCCATCTGCCTCGGCCTCCC